GATTTCTGCAGCACCGTGCAGCAAACAAACAAAAACGCATTTTTACTTGCGTCATTGATTATCCACCTGGCAAACGCACTATTTTCCATGCATCTCAGGCTCGTTCTCTACCTCTCTCCCGCCTAGTAGCAACATAATAACAAGAACATTGCCTGGATGCTACTCTAAGTTTAGCCCTCTCAATGTGCAGAATCTGTGTCTCAGCAGTTGCACTCCTTGTATAGCCTTCTGGGTGACAGCTGCAAAGTGCTCGAAATCTGGGGCCTCAACCAGTCAGGCCGTGGATGGGGAATTTGGGTACCCAATAGAGACCACAAACACCGTTTGGTGCAAAATCTCTCTCTCTCTCTCTCCCTCCCTCCCCTCCCTGTCTTTCCCTTGTTTTTTCTCCCAGCAACTGTCAAAGGACAGTTTCTTCAGCATAAGGATGACCTCACTGATCCCACCCGCAAGATTCAGCCCAGCAGCTCAGCAGCCAGAAAACATCCCATCAGCTGAGCACAGAGGCCGCAGGAGATTCATCTGCTAAGACCCTCAATCCTCAGGATTTGGGTATGAAAACTGAAAACCGTTCTTCTCCAAGCTCTGTCGGCACATTGGATGCGGCATCTCACTGAATTTCCACACCTTTGGCACACATGTTCACGTCTAATTCGCTCAAAGTTGAAACCTTTTCGGAAAAATGGTGTGGGAATGGGTGGGGCCTAGGACCTGAAGGTAACATTCTTTTCTCAAGGTACTGCACTCCTTTTCGATGTCCAGTACTTGTTTGGGGCTGAAGTCGAAGAAACCTATTGCGCTCATGATGTTTTCCTCCTGTGTGCCACTATGCTGCACCTGCGTTGCCGCCCCAACAAGAGCTAATGCTCCTTACGGCAAGTTTTTCAATATCTACGTTTTCTGCTCAGTACTAAGCTTGCTCTCTTGCTTTGGTTGGATTAATCCCGATTACCCATTTAAAAAAAGTACACCTATTTAAACAAAAAGTGCATGTCAGAAACCCATAAATACCGCTTATATTTGTTTTTTTAATTGCCGCCCTTCAAGCCGCTACAGTACTAAACTACCAACATGGCCGATTTTGGAGAATTTTTTAAAATTAGGTTCCAAAACAACCGTAACCGCCCACCTCTGTCCACCCTGTCTATCCACCATGACACGCCGTGTTTACACCAGCAGGCTTTCCTTCCCCCAATGGCACGGACTCACGCAAACGCACTTTCCACCCAGGTCACGCAAAACCGCATGGCACAGCGACATCACCTGTCGAAAGCTTTGTTAGTCTAATGAATCACTATTCTAATATCGATCTGGAGGTTTTTAATTTTTGATACGAGTTTCATAAAGGATATACCATTTTCCTGGGTAACTTTTTGGTTTTGAAGCCCTTCCGAGGTGACCCTTTTTTGGACCCCCGATTTCAGGGACCCCCTACAAAAAAATGCGACCGAGATTTCCTTACTAGGGGGGGGGCGTGTTTTTAATAGGTGGACCGGATTAGTGGGTCGGGGTTTGCAGCAGAAAAGTATACATGCGTTCAACTGTTCTCATGTTTTGTTTCGATCTTTTGTTTGTCTTTGTTTGGTTTACGAGCAGAATGCACAGGGGTTGGGGATTGGATTCACCAGGGTCACAACGCTGAGATGCATTGAGTGCGCAGCTCTGTCCAAAAGGCATGAACAAGTAATCTTCCAAGTGGATCCAACTGAGGCCAAGATAGGTGGTTTGCCTGGATGACATTAATGTTGTGAGGCTGAGGTGTTCAAGTAAGAGAACCGGGTCTTCTCGCTCGCTCGCTCGCTCGCTCTCCCTCCCTCCCTCCCTCCCTCCCTCATGGCCCCAAATGATCTACACTGGCCACAAGACTTCTTCCCAAAGTGCTGTGGGCCAAATCGACCTTCAACAGTCGCATGAAGCTACTAGGAGCAAAGGGCATCGCTACCAGGAGCATGCAACTAGGGGCTCCTGGCCTTACTAGTAGGAACAAGGAAGCTACTAGGAGCAAAGGGCTCTTCGATGCTCTTTGGCACCCTGATCAAGTTGGCGAGATTTGGGGACGGTGGGGGGTCCCTCCACCTACATTAGCGCTCAGGAGATGAACAATTCAGAAGGGTCCTGATGCTTTTCGAGTTCATCCTCCTTGTTCAGGTCCTTTCAGCAAGGGCACTGATATTGTGTTCCTGCAGCTTCGATTCCGTCGCTGTTAGGATTTCATTAGGCTTGCTCTCAATCTCTTCCATGTACTGCTCCAGATTCTCCTGAAACCCGGCTTCTGGGCATCAACGACATCGGATACAGGTTGTTTTCTTGGCGATTTTAAGTTGTTCATTCCCCTGATCGTAAATCGGGAAATCCAGGTTTGGAGGCCAAGGATGCGAATGGGTTTTGTTATTTCCATCTACTGTACACAATTGGTGTGCTCTTGACCCACCTCATGTGCCCACGGCAAAAAACCCTTCTCCAAGTGTTCATCATGACGGCGACGGTTTGGAGGGCCAGGTGCACGCACCCCCGGAGGCGCAGCTGGCCATCGAATGGTGTTCCAAGAGCTCTTGTGCTCAAGCATCCCATCCGCTTCCATGTCCACCACATCCTGACCATCAATGACTTGGCGTGGCATCCTGGGCTCCAATCTCACAAACATATCGTTATTCTCAAACCGCACACCTGAACTCGCGAAAACTCGTGCAGTAAGTGAAACTGTCCGAAACAAAGGAACCTGAAAGGGAGTTTCTGATCTAGCCACACTATTACTATTGTTCCTCGTCGACGTCATTTTGGGTCATTATATAATTAGTGATTTAACTTTATATAGTGTTTCGCCCTTTTGCGTAAAGCATCAGTGACGTGTAACTCTGAGCGCGCTGGCTGCCCCAAGCTTGACCGGACTTGCCAAACTTTAGCAATCTTTGATGGTGGCCTCAGCGCAGAGCGGACAGAACTAATACATCCTAGCAGTGGCTGGTTCACGATAGGCAGGCGGAACAAATCCGCAAATGGACTGGCCAGGTGCAGGGCGAGCGGCGGTCTTCCAATGATTTGAGAGACTCAACTTTGACTTTAACTGAGTGCCCACGTGGCACTTTGCTCGGTTCACGTGCACGATCACCCTGGCGCTTCTGCTTGGCTAAGGCTTCATCGACAACCGACGCACCGCAGCCCATGGCGAAACACTGAAATTCTCAAAGATGTAACCCATGACCCATCCTGACCTTAATGGGACTTGCTGCATCCTGTTGCTGGCCGATCCTGAATCATTGTCATATAATGTCAATATATAATATACGATGTCAATAGTACAAATCGGCTGACAGTGCCAAATCGGATGAAGTAAGCCGAACCAGCAAAGGCCGCAAAGTGTGGCACCCTCAAAAACACCAAAACACGTCAGTTATAAATAAATTCAATACATTCGTTTAGCTGACCTGTTTTCCCAGTCACTGACAAAATGCCCGAATGATTGCAATGGAGGATATTCACCAACCTCCCCCCCAACAAGGTCCCATTAAGAATCCTTTATATACCGTTACCTCCTGCAAATTTCAAATTGGAGGAGGTCGGCATTCCCCCTTTCTCTCTGTGACTCAGTTTTGTTGGTCTATTAGTGTGTGTTTGGCATCGTGAGATAACAATTGCTCAGCCGGCTTGTTCATGTGCTATGGCAGTGGCATGTGCACAGAAATGGCAGGAGGGGGTACCACAGCTCTCTCAGGGCCCCCCTCCCTTCTTCTCGTTGTGCAGGATAGGGAGAGACACCCGGTTGGCTTGTCCACGTGCTCTGCTATACTGTTCCGCAACCGTGCCGAGCTGCCCGTCCCGAAAGAACTGTCCATTTTCCATCCCCCAGTCACCTGTGTCGTCGTTTTTGCTCACGCAAGGATGAATCCGCAAGCGTTCACTTTTTGAAACCAATCTGTGGACGATTTGTGCCATAGCACCTCATTGCCGAGCTACAGTATCAAGCCTAGTCGAACTACATCATTCCCCCTGGTCTGCGATCCATAGGACCAGCCAAAAAGCTACTAGTAACAAGAACATTGCTTCTAGTAACAAGTGCCTTACTAGTAGTAACAAGAAGCTATTAAATATATTTTAGATTAATTCTAATAGCTTTTTGTTACTACTAGTAAGGCACCTGTTACTAGCGTGGCACTTGTTACTACTAGCTTCTTGTTCCTCCTGGTTTGCCAAATCACAGATTTTGGAGACAGCTTTTCTGTTGGAACATATGAAAACATCACATCATGCAACATCGAGGCACGTCCGCGATGTTGCAATTGGCCAGCGGACTGAATGTCAAACACGGTCACACCTGATCATAGATGGGAGGTTTTCACATCTTCCCAAGTACTCAAGGATCTTCTGGGTTGCTTCTCCAGAGGTTTTCTGGGATAAATCCGATGTTTTTCCATATTTTTCATTTCTTTGGTGCTGGTTTTTGTTCTCAACGGTCTGAGCCACTCACAAGTTGTGACCCACACCAGCAAGCGTTTGCTGCACACCCAAAGGGATCACCCGGGCAGGATCTTTCACGCAATGCTCAGGTCTTGCCACTCCCTCGCCTGCACGGCAGTGGCTAGCCAGTCCCACAGCCCACAGCAACGACGTTACATTGATAGGTTGACGTGTTCATGTGTTCTTGGCACTCTGTCACTCTGTGTGTTCGTGCAATATTTTAAGATTGCAGTAGATTCAGTAGATGAATTTCCCGATGCTGTCAATCACAGTGCTGCTTCCCCATTGTTTGTTGATCCCAAAGCACATTAATGCGGGTGGTTCAGGGGATCACTGTTGTTGGACTACCACACGCTTTGTTTAGAGCAACTTGCACGCCCCAAGTTCTCATGAGTCTTGGAAAGGGATCCTGAAACTTACAAGTGAAGGCTTGGAACCTCAAACAATCACACCTCAAATCAACAACCTCTTGGAAGGCCATCTGTCCACTGCGTTCTTTGGCAGCAGTCCCATGGATTCATGAGCCCGAACACACTTCATTCACTTTATGAGACATATATACCATCCGACCCCTGCGCGTTGTCATTCTCAGGTGCGCTGCTTGTCCTATATCTTTGTTGGTGGTAGTCAGACATCTTCACCGTTGACTTTGTGTAAACACTTGGGATGCAGGGGTCATCCGTGCCGGTCTGCGCCGGTCCGTGCCATCTGCCTTGCGGCACGTAGGCCGAGTCGTGGGTCTTGTGCCATGCGGTCTCGCTGAAACCATATTTCCGAGCTGCGCGGGCATCGACGGTCTGAACATGTCCTAGATTCGCGGCAGCGCGCAAGATGCGGCCATCGTCCCCAGCAAAAGCCTGCGCTTTACCTTGGTCACTTGCGATGGTGGCCAAGGAAACAAAACACATGCAACATGTGTTATCATGTGTTTATATGATATGAACCCTCAAACACTACGTCTCACAAAATCGGAGGTGCCCACCTTCTACGGACACTTTGGACCTGCAGCACGTGACCCATTGAACAGTTCTGACTTGCTGTATGACCCAACTAGGGCAAGTCAAGCACAACCCGAATATCCACCGACCGGTCTTCATCTGACCCTGTTCGAACAGAGGCTGCCCCATGCTGCGCTCAACGAAGTCAAGATGCTTCGATCTGTTGTGACATAAACGCCCTTTCCCAGCAGTCCATCTTTGGAGGGGTTGAAGCCCTTCTTGAGGATGGCCTGAGCCGCATCCTTGGAGGTGCCATGGTAGACCATCTCCACTTTGCCGGGCTCAATGTTCCGGGACTTCCAAAAGGCTGGGTGAAATGGATTGCGCTGGTTGGCTCGGTTCGTGTCCTGGAGAAGATCATGCCACAACAGAAACTTACCGAGCCAAGGTCCCTGCGGCCGCCTACGACCTGCCTATCGTTAGTTCCCAAATGTCCCCATCGTTCCAGTCACCCCGGGCTGAAACACAGAAAGGCTACAATGCCTGGCCGCTGAATGACCCCACCCAACTGGGAGAACTCCATGGCGGGTTGTTGTTCAGCTATGAAGTCAGGCCGGGTCAGCCCGAAAGATTTTGTCCTGGGAGGGCTTGGAGGAAGCTGACTTCGAGCTTGTTTGCGCTGCCTTCTGTGCTGCAGTGGGTGGCAGTCCCCGAGACTGATGAAAGGCTGCGTGGCATGGATTCAGTTGATTGGCACGGTTGACCTGGCTGCTGGGATTGCTCTTGTGTCTTGACATGTCCACGCTAGCATGCACAAAGGTATGGCAAGAACACCTGTAAAACAAACAAAACCAACCAAATGACCAAATGCAAAGGCGGTGAAGTTCTGCAGGCCTGTTGGCCATGCTTTACTGGTTCTCTGCCCTGCTACGCTGAAAAAGGACTACGTGTGCTGCTTTGCTAGAACCTAGGTTTCTGCCCATTCCCCAGCCTGTGAGCTAGTAGGCTTGGGACTTGAGGTCTTTGCCTTCAAGCCAGTGCTCTTCGAAGTGTTTGAACTGGTAGGCTTTGAACAGGTCTTGACTGTCTTGACCGCAGGGCCACGCCCACCCCCTCGACATCCGGAACCGCCGGAAGACTTGCCCATGGCCAACGGTGGGCCACGGTCGAACCAAAAATGGCTGAGGGGATCGTTTCCGGAGAACGACATACCCGTTACAAGTCTCCGGAGACGCCCGCAGTGTGAACCCAAAGATTTGGTCCAGGGCCTGTTCAAGCACCAGGAAAACTTGTTCAATTAAACCCCCTTTAAATGGGTCAGTAAGTTTGTTGTCTCCTCCATCCTCACTTGCAGTAGCTGGCTTTGTTGCATTCAGAATGGTTCACTAACCTCAACGAAATTGGTTGCTTCGCCAGTGATAAGTGGAAACATGTGGAAACTATACTGACTGCAAACACTCTGAAACACCATCATCCCGCGGCTATCATCCACGACCGCATTGACCACGCAGCAAATGTCGCAAAGCCCATAGATCTCGACGTCTGTGGGAAGCGCATGTGCTCCTTCTTTGAGGGTTCATCGCGCGTATATTTGACTGCAAACTGCAGGTGACGACCAATATGCTCACCCTGTGACAGTGTTTGTCTAGGCTTGGCTGACATCAAGTTGATCATACAGTGCTATTGGCACCTGAGAGTGTGAGCACTATATTGCACCATTTGCCAAGACATACCGGGGGTAGGGCTGGCGCTTGTGATGCTGTTGTGGGCAAGACATGGCAAGACCACCCCTGCAATACTTCCAAGTTGCTTGACTAGTCCCCATTGATCAGATTTCTCCACAACGCTGAACATGCTCACACCCAGTGCGTCGACCCCTCCACCAAGTGAACATAACAAGCGATAAAAAGCATGCCCTTATGGGTGGCACGTTTGGCTGTTGCTTCATTCTAAAAGCGCTGGCCTCCACCCTGTTGCTGCATTTTTACGTCCTTCCTTTCTCTTCCCTTATGGCACTTTTCCTGAAACCCCTTGTGAGCATCAAATCACACGATAAGAGCATCATCCATCATCCTGCAGCCTGACCGTGCGAGGCCACGTGATCTTGCCCATGGCGGGGAGGCGGACAACCAAATTTTGTGCAGCGTCAGTCATTGTGGATATATACAGACGCTACTGGGAACAAGGGCATCGCTACTAAGAGTAACAAAAGGCATTACTACTAGTAGCAAATAGCTACTAGTAACACATATACAAGTGCAAAGATTTGCGCTGAAAGTCTGGCAATCGAAATGGGCAGAGTTGCACAGCCAAAGGTTTTTTCCATCCAAGACTACACCAGCCAGGAGGCAGCTTCCAGATTTCTGCCTGGACCCTTGCCACATCCACACTCGAGCAAAATCCGGCAAACTATGCCAAAGGCCCAGCGGAGGTATGGGATCTTCACTTTCCGAGCCACGTGATACGAGATACAACCCACCTCATCCTAAGAAGGCTCATGAATTGGATGGAGTCAGTAACACGTCGGCGCTTTAAGATCTTCAGCCATCGAGGATTTAGAATCTTGCACCTCCCTGCTTTAGAGACCTGTTGCAGCTCCCATGTCACGGTAGCTTTGGCCCGTCCCAAACAAGTCGTCGAATACAAATTTTGAAGTTCATCTTCAGAGTCTGGTAACCTACCTTGGTTTGGGGGGCATACCCTTGCTTGCGGACATGTCCAACTCTTCACCCGCCCTCTTGCCGCCCCTTATCTAGGACCAGGTACAGGGAATTGTGGCCTCTGGTCTAGAACAATGAAACAGGAACTGCCTGCATCGGATCATTGCATATGCCGGGTAAGCCGCGGCCTTAACAGCAATGGTTACAAGAGGCATTGCAATATATGATATAGTTAAGGCACCCAAGCCGGGTACGGGTCAGCAATTTTTGTCCGAATCCTAATTTCTATCAAGCTCTCTAATTGAAAGTCGTCCCTCATCTGAAAAAGAAACTCTCTCTGTATATGCTGGCCAGTCTCATAGTGGTGCTCCTAGCCTAATGCCACTTGTCACAATATTTGACTGGATGGTCATACTGAAACCGCGGATAGTGTCTGCTCGTGTTAAAAAATGCTTGTGGTTAACAATTGCTTGGGGGATCTTGGTTGTTATTTTCGGTGTTCTGCCGGTGTTGGAACTCGTAGGCTGGACGACCGCACCCATTCTGCTCCGGCAGAATTGGGCGGGGCAACAGAGTTTGGAGAATTAAGGGCTCTCTTGTCCTGTGTCCAACTCACTCCTCTTTAACAGCTCGCTCCACCGGAGCTCAGCATGCACTGAGTTGAGGATGCAATGTGAGAAGAAACACGCAAACTACCATGCCTCAATCTGGAGAGCAGCTGCAGCTACATTGAATCATTTCTATATACAGAATCCCCAACCCTCTCTACCTTGGAGGAGTGAACTAGACACGTCTAGAGGCTTTTGTCAGGTGAGCTGCAAGCGGGGCGCAAGTCATGCTGCTTCATGTTGAAACCGGTTGTGTCTCAACACTCCATGATGATCCTGACTGAACACTCCGACTGTTGAGTCATTTCTCGTTTCATCGACATCCGCCTTCCGAAAGGCTCCCAGCCCATTCGTACTGCGAAGTTGGCTCAAGCAAAGAGGCCCATGCCGCAGAGATTGCGGCCAACGTCACAATGGGGTTGTCTCTAAATTCCATCGGGGGACTTTGTCACCCAAGGTGCCATGTGTCTACATGTGCATTTTCCAAGGTATCTGTGCCATCTGTGATCCAAGGTATAGTCTATGTCCTCTTCCTTTGGTGTCCAGGGCCTCCCTGTTGAGACAAAGCTGCTGTTTGATGGTTCGCATGGTCCGCACACATCCACACACACACGGTTCCGTGTGTGATATCGTGCGTCTTCCCAAAAGCCCAAAATAGATCTGCAACAGAACTCTTGGACAATGAATCTTGGCACCAGCATTTGGTCACTCTAAGCTGCGCTTTTTGGGATGGAGGGAGGGATCAGTTTTTCCTGGCTTCCCCCCTTCATACGCGACGGAGTGATGCATGCAAACGGAGCAGCGCTATTTTCAGCCTGTGCATGACCGGTGCCGGGCCAAACAAAATGGCAACCCCCAATGCGCAATGCTGCGATACTGATAGCATTCCTGGTGACTCCTGCTACAAGACTTCTTCATTCCCATCATTGAAACATATTGAAGCAAACGCATCGGTCTAAACATGTCTAAAGACCACAGCCTATCCGTCTATTTGAATGGCGCGGTGGCTGCCAGTGGCCGAATCCAACTCCTCCCGGGACCCATATTCTGATCGAATGAACGTCACACTGAGGCTCAGAAACACCGGTCCCAAGCAAATGATTTCCTTAGCATTATAACGTTTTACAGGAAGGGGGGGTGGCACCGATAAGTCAAATCAACTTGAAGGCATTGCTTGTTTGATTTTTTGGCATGGCTGCGGCAGGCAAACAAAAAGGATCATGGAGTTTGATATTGTTTGATGCCGATGACATTGATCACAGTGATAAAAAGTTGCCCCCCCCCACAAGGCATCAAAACCACTCCGACCCCATTGCTTCATTGCCACACCTGGGTCTCAAGCTTTCTCTAAATTTTCCTCGGCTGCCAAAAGCAAAACGATGCGTGTCTTGCTGAGAAAATCTGCTTAGGAGGACCTATTTCCAAAATGCATCAAACAGCTGAGCTCTCTCCAGCTCCCAAGAAAACATCATGTCAGCCAAAAGGAGCCTTCGCATCGAAACGGTTCGAGTCTGCGGGGGCGTGCGGGGGGCGCAAAGCACGTAGTTGCCAAATTCAATCTTCAGCGGTCACAAGTGGCACAATCAAGAAAAGAACATCTACAATCTGCATCGGTAGTTGAACTTCTCGGTTCCTTCGCGATGCACAACTTCCAAACCCAATCCATCACTCTCACATGCAATTGACAAGGCGCTCGCTCTTGGTGGGTGATCCAATCCAATATCTTCGCAACTTTTGCATCTAACTGCCGCACATCTGAATGAAGCGCCACCTCATCATCGGCACTTTGGACACGCGTGTGAAACCTTGGGGACACCAAGGTGGAATATCTACCCTCACCACCACTAAACAAATCATGCAGTCATATAGACATTTTACGCTGAATCTAATTTGCTACGGGAGCTCAGGTGTTGGGGCTGTCATGGAAAACAGTCTTCCGAAATGGGAGCTGAAAAAGGAAAAGGGTGCGGCTTTATTTGGGGAACGTTTTGCGTTGCATTTGGACATTTTTTGTGCTTTCGTGGTTTCTCTATAGTTCTCCCGTGGAAGTGGCCAGCCATCTGTTTGTAAAAGAAATATGTGTCCGGGAGGCCGTTTTCATGTCCATTCCCAGATTATTTCAGGGTGCCTACCGCCTGTGTGCCAAAATTATATACTAACCACCTGGACCACAAGGCAAAAACAAAGCTCCGGCCGCAGGGCGAACAAACATGAGACAAGTACATCATAATCAACCAGGGAGTAAAGAATGAAAGAACTCTGTTCGTATGATGCCCCTGTGTTGCCCCTTAGGGCGAACAGCAGAAAACAAACAACAAGAGTAGCAAAAGTATAGAAAACCAACAAAACAGGAATACAACAACTATATATATATATATAAGAAAAGCAACGGCAACAAAGGCCATACAAAGCAAAAACAATTAAACCAGGGAAACAGTACGCCACAACAGAAGACGAAGCACAAATTGTAGACAAACACAGGAAGTGCAAAACGAACGCAAAACAATAAACATACTTTACTTCAAGTGATCCCCACCATGACATTTCAATCTGGCAAGTTTTTGGGCATGCATTGAAACATTCTTTCGGCATTCTTTCTGGCATATCTTCTGACATTCTTTCTGGCCTCTCTTCTGATATTCAGTCTAACATTCTGACTGGCATATCTTCTCACATCTTTCTGACCTTCTATCTGGCATATCGTCTGCATATCTTCTGGCATTCTTTCTGACATTCTTTCTGGCGTTCTATGTGGCATATCTTCTGACTCGCCGTTGAAGTCCGGCGAGGAACACTGCCCGCCGAAGCTCGCGGCTGAGGTCCGGCGGGGAACACTGCCAGCTGGAGCTGGCGGTTGAGGAGAAGGACGATGAGGAGGAGGAGGAGGAGGAGGAGCAAGGCAGCTGACATAAACTCTAACAACCCTCACCCGACAGGTGGGGAATGCAAAACAAACGCAAAAAACAAGAAAACAAAAAACACGGGAGAATTGACAGGAAAGCAATGAAAAACAAAAGCAAAGCGGGGAAAAACGCAAACGCCTAAAAACAACGCAAGACAGGAGAAATCGTAAAGCAAGAAAAACAACAAGAAACAAATCAAATGAAGGCAACACAAAAATTTTCCGAAACAATTGTCTTCCGTTAAAAACAGCTAGGTGAACGCCGTGTGGAAAGACCGCGGAATGTGAAAAAACATAGGCAGGGTTGTTATGGGGTGCGTCCCCGTGCCCATACATAACATCATGACGCCAACCCCACTCCATGCCCGGCAGGTTTCCCACCTGATCGATGGCTCGGGCGGGGCCTTTGCATCTCATGATTCCATCGATGAACTCATCCAGAGTAACCTCACGGCCAACAACAACGTGCGTTTACATTTAAGTGTACTGTGCTGGAGTGGCAGGCTGTGGCAACTGCATGCTGGATAGGCTGGTTCACTGTGCGGTACTATGCGACGATGCGTGCACAAAAAACTAAATTTACAATATGTTATACATGAGGACTCATGTTTGCGCAAAAACTGCGCTAAGTTCCGTTTGGGTGTGCACAACTGCATGGTTTCAAGCCTCCCCGCAAAATCTGAGTTTATTGATGTTTGCTTGTGTGGCATACAAGCGAGCCTCTCCATCACCGTTGTCGATAAGGTGAAACAAAGCTCGACCTTAAATCGCCGACCAAATCGAAAAGTTCCCCACAACTGGCGACAGTATGCGTGTGAGAGAAATCCGCGCCGGCAGCAGTGCAATGCGTGTTTGTTCTCACGCCTTGAGCCGCATTGTGGGTCATGTGAAGAGGCCATAACTCACGTGCGAGGAAAATGTTCAAGTTCAAGGCCAGCGTTCACACCGCTTTAGTTTGTAGCAATCGCAAAAAAGTTTGTGGCAGGGTGAAGGCGCCCGCTCATGTTCAACGCATCACTCAGCATGTCCTTGGCTGCGGTCCATTCCATCTTGGTGGTGGCCAGCGTCGGCGGGCGCCTGGGCGCTTCAGCTTCAACCTGTCCTTCCAGAGCCGGGCCAGCCGCAAAAGCGGCGGCTCCTCCTCGATTGGCCACCCCAAGTGGCGCTCAAGAGGTTGCTGCCGATCCGGTTAGGTGATGGGACAAGCTCTCCACACATGTGGCGGTTGATCAAAATTCCTTCTTGCTGAGAGGCCGTTCTTTGCCAACAAAACATGTACTTTCGCGAACTCCATGTTTAATCTTCGCGGGGGATATATCCTCTCGAACGCTTCTTGGTTTAGCGGTTCTACAAATCAGCCTAAGCACTTCCATCTGTTTGTTTTGTTTGTTTTGGAGGAGCACGCTATCAACTGTTGTTACGCTCATGTCTTGCTAGGTCTTTTGCTGCTTGGCTTGGGCAGGGGTCCACAAAACAGGCCTATGCTTTCGCGGAACTTTCGCGAATCTTTCGCCAAAAAAATGTCGCGTCTTTGGTGGGTTTCTAGGCCCAAAGCGAAACATCAAAAGAGTTGCAACACAACCCAGGGATTGTGCACCGCAAGTGTGAGCCGACTGATGACTGACTGTGCCTAGGAGCCATGGCCAAGCCAAATCACTTTAGACTGCATCGAAAATCAGGAATCAATGCTCCTCTTGAGTGAAGTAAGTATGAAGTATATAGTTCTAATATAGAACATAATAGGATCTTTTGAAAGCTCGCGAAAGTAAACTTTTTGTCCGCAAAAGAAGTTTACTTTCGCGAGCTTGAGAAACACTTTCACGAACAACTTGAGGAGGCTCTCAATGACATAGGCATATGTCGACCTTTCGATCAACTACCATGTTCCATATAAGTGGCCTCAGCACCGCGGCAGAATGGGCAGCTTGCAAACAACGGGCTAACGAAAGCCCTGGTGGCAAAGGCCATAGCATGATCAGTTTCTTATGACGGGCCTCTTCTTGATTGCTTTGTTCAGCCATCCTCTTTGGAATGATGCCGGCATCTCATGGTCCCCAATTATTGGACATGAAATGGAGCATCCAACATTTTGTAGGGGAGGTTCATTCAGAGATGCTCCTCTATAGAGTCCAGGACCAGCAAGTTTAAACATGCATCACTGATTCATCACTCTTGCCCTGTTTTGCTTACAGAACTGGGGAACCCAAGATACCGATGAACAGGTCAGAGACTGAAATGGCCTCTGTAGAATTGGGCGCCGCAACATCTGCATTTTGCTGTCCTCACCCTTGAGATTTTCAGGGCTGGTTTTTCTTGACAGTAAATCATCACCCCTTTGCGGTCGACTATGATTCGGTAACCAAAACCGCTGATTCGGTAACCAAAACCGCTGATTCGGCAACCAAAACCGCTGATTCGGCAACCAAAACCGCTGAGTCGGTAACCTAAACCACTGATTCGGCAACCAAAACCGCTGAGTCGGTAACCTAAACCACTGATTCAATAACCAAAACCCTGAAACCAGCACAATATAACATTTCCAAAAGAAGAAACAAACGACCCGGGTAGTAGTATTAGTAGTGGCAGTGGGGGTGGTAGTGGTACAGTAGTAGCAATAGTAGTAGCAATAGTAGTAGTAGTAGTAGTAGTAGTCGTAGTCGTAGTCGTAGTAGTAATAGTAGCAGTGGCAGCAGCAGCAGCAGCAGTAGTAGTAGCAGCAGCATTTCATCACAAAACAACCAGGACTGCGCGCGTGTCTCTCTCTCTTGGTGGTCGCAAGCACAGACCAACAAAAGCTTTTGTTCGATCCATGCCAAACTAGCATGGCAGAACCCTCAATGAGTTCATCTTCATCTTTCCAACTTAATTACAAATGCTCGTGAAGATGCTGTCGCTATTAGGGGCACCGTACTACACTCCGCTGTAAATACAACGATCAGAAAACTAACCATACGCTGTAAATAACGACATATTCTTGAACCCTTTGCAGCCACATGGAACGTCATTATCTTGGCCCCCACTCTATTCAGCCATATGCTGTCAATACAAACTGTTCTTACTTGAATGAATGTTGAAGCCCTTTGCAACCACATCGAACGTTATTATCTTGGCCATGGCTCCCCCCCACCCCACACTCCTCGTGCCCTCCACCCCATTGCAACCATCGTCTGGCTTGGTTTCTCAATAGTCTGACTTGGCTTCTGCATCGGCTGTTTTGGTTTCTGAATCGGGACTCGCTTGGTTTTTCTGAATCAGCCCATGTGGTTTTTGAATCAGACTGCTGTGGCTTCTGAATCGTAGTTGCTGAATCGTCCTTTTTGGTTTCTGAATCGTAGTTTCTGAATCGGCTATTTTGGTTTCTAAATTCTAAATCGTAGTTTCCTGATCGGTTGGTTTCTGAATCGGCAAATTTCCCCTCTTTGCAATGCCAGAGTGTCTATCTTGTGAGCATTTTGTCAGCGGCCTTCTTTTTTCTCTCTTCTGCTTCTTGTCGTGCTTAGTTTTTGTTCTCCACTCACTCAGCAGTTTAGCTGCGCTGCCCCAACCATGGGAAAATGTTCAATTCTATAGGGGTTAGCCCAGAATCACCCTGAGTGACGCCCCTGCACACCAAAACAACCTCTACAGACATTTAGTTGCCAAAGCACAACCATTCACAACATGACTCTCTCTCTCTCTCTGTACCTGAGAAATGTTTATTATGTCTGTCTATAGCATTGAAACACCTAACACTCAAATTCTCCAGAGACTCCAGATCTACCACTGTATACAAAAAATCGTTTCACCGAGCACCTAGGTGCTCCAATTTTACAAAGGAAATTGCTACAAGGATGTTCAGCCGCATTATTCTTACGCGCTTGAATTGGATCGAAACCTGCAATGCCCAATGTTTTTGCGACCAACAAGAAGTGTCTTTTCCATGAACAGTTTTTCTGGAATGATGTTCGAGTTTAGGACCTTAGGATATTTCATACGTTGTGCTTGCTCTCTTGCTTGCCAAACACTGTGTGTACATGCGGCGCACAAAACAAAACACACGAAAATCTATATATACCATCCATACCGTTGACAACCGTGTGCAAATCGTGTGAAAAACGAATTCTAAGTAAGCACAGTCCATTTGCCCCGAGGTGCTGCACACCGGCCTCTGTTTGAAGGCAATTCTCATGACAGGCCTAGGACTAGGCCTGCTGACACTCACAGCCGCTAAGCCTGCTCTTCCTGTCTTGCAAGTGAGGGCCTTGCGATCATGCACGATGATATAGGACGAGCGCGCCCAATCCATGAGGACAAGTGATGTGAATGTCATCCTTGTCTTGAGAGGTCGTTTCGCCACAGTTGCGGAGGGTGCTGTGCTGTCTGGATCCTTGCCGAACTTCAACCTGAAGTGCATGAACTTAATAGTATTGAGAGCTTCACCATCTCCACAACAAACCACCAACATGGCAAATTACCATGCCACCGAACAACACGAACACGAACACGCTGCCTAAATCTTCAACAACATTGTTGTTGAAGATTTAGGCAGCGTGTTCGTGGGAACCTGGCGAAACTTGGCGGCGCAGCGTACGCCAAACTACCCAAGGAGCATCGTTAGAATGGATCCGGGATGATCCGGGCTTGACTCCGAGAATTCCATCAGCCGGTGGCCGAATCAGGATGACCCCGGGCTAGGCCTTGCGCTTGGTGGCAGTGATGCCACCAACGTGCAACATGTAAACGCAGCAGCTCGCGTGAGCAGTGCAATGCCTGCTTGTTTGCATGCCTTGGGTGACGTGGTTGTTTGACCAAAGCACTCCCAGCAAGCACATGGCATGGCGCTGTAGCGGTGTTTTCCTGGTTGACTACGAGGGCTGCCGAGTCACCAACGTCAGATTGTCTAGTACCACTTGTTGTGGGACCACTCAGGAACCTTACGGTACTTGCGGGGGTGTATAATGTATGTATAGGTGGTCAGGAGTATCGTTGTAATAAGTGAAAAAATGCTGACTGACAAGAACTCGAGGTCTTTACTTCCTTCCAAAGCCAAGGAGGGAACTAACCTACTAGCAATGGCCTCCAACCTAAGAGCGATGGCCTCCAACCCAATGAGCGATCCTGAAGCACTGGTAACAGCGTTACCTGCTTGAGGCGACTGGTTTACTCTGGATGTGCCTGGATCGTCTGTTGTGCTTTTTGGAGTGCCGATGGTGCCGCGTTTTGAACAAAACAGAGCAGGTGGCAAGGAAAACTTTGCTTGTCAACCCACTGCAGCAACCACCAGAAACCGCTGTTGCTGCAATACGAAGATGCCCGGCTCAACAGCAAAATGAACAAGGGGAGCCAGGCCACCGGAATTTCAGTTCAATATCACCCTGCCGCACCTGATGCCTGAGACATCCTGAAACATACACAGGCCACTAAGGCCCCGGCCCTCTCGCACATCCAAATCCATTGTTTGAAAATATGCCTCCACTTGCGGAATCTCCAGGATCGCCGAGAGCCGCTCCTGGAAGAGGCTGAGACAGATCAAACGGGTGGCTACGAATCATCGAACGGCTGGCAAAAGGGCCCCAAGCCGTCGATGCATTTACTCTTGTGAGCCCTCTTCTCTTCGGCGTTTTTTGCAAGCCTCGGCTCGCATATACATATTCCTCGGAGATCCTTCAGGCAGGAATTTCAACAATTTCCTATAGCTGAAAACCTGACTGGGGCCAGAATCGGGTCGAAAGCAACACTCTGGCAAGAAACCTGCAAAACCAATCAAATGATGCTCATGGACTCATGAACATGAAACGACAAAACCAGCGGAAAAAACCTGCAAAACTTAAAAACAACACTGACAACACCCATAAATTTGCAAAAGCAAGATGACATTACAACATAATACTACCAACAAAAAAACAAGTAAAAAGGGCATCCAGCAAAAACTGCTACAGTAGGCAGAAAGACTGCCTGTGAGCAGAACTTTGCCTGTTCAATCCCAGCTACGAGCATAAGTTATATCATCCCTTCTCATCCAAAAATAACTGGATCCTGCAAAGCACCAGGTCCCTGGAAGAGAAGGAGGCTCCCTTCTTCTTCCCATATGACCCGTTTTGCCTTGAGCCCTTCGTTTAGCTTCTAAATCAAGTATTATAAACGATACAAACTCAGGAAGAACATTGGCTTCATCTTTAAACCACGTGGAATCGTTAAATTGCATACAAACAGTTGCACCCCACTTGTGCTCCACTTTCCGTCCTTCATCATCCTTCCCTCCAAACTTGCTCCAAACTTGCTTCGTCATTGTTTCAACTCGCTCCCTCAGGAAACGGACAGGACAAAAAAAACACAGCATGGACAGCTCCTCCGTGATCAGCCCATCCTTGCCTTCATCGATTGAGTTGAAGATCCCCTGCGCACGGTCGGCATTTGGTGGTCTTCAAGGCCAGGTGTGACGCAAAGCAGCCCACAACAGGCCGCTAGTGAAACAAACCTACAACCTGGATGCTACATCTACCTCCCTGTGGCATTCTATGGTTTTATTATGTCATATGACTCCCAGGTCCTCCAGCTTCTTGACAAACTGCTGCTTCTTTTGCAAGCCTTGGGCCGTCGGGGCTATTGGTCAAGCAAGTGCTAAACATGGAGGACATGTTGTTTTCCCAGAAGCGAGTTGATGAACAGCAAAACCTCGCCAAACAACGCAACCACTCCGGGGGGGGCTTTCGGCATTGCTCTCTCAACACTTTGGGATCCAGTTGCACTTTAGCAACGTGAAGATACGTGAAGTCCCTGGTCTTTAATCTGAACAAATCCACACTCACTAGAACACTCTTCGATACTTGTTGTGGGGGTCCAGTCACGTCCAGTCCTGCCGACATCCTGCCAACGCCGAAGAGCGATCGATCACCAACTGCTCGGCATCGTTTTGAGCCGCGTCCAAGGTATCTTTCCTTGGTACACAGCCGCCATGACATCTGAAAGCCCGACCCTGTTAAAGAAACACAGTATGTTTCGGTTTGTTGGCCACATGGGAACGTTTGAACCGACCGATTTGAGCCATACTCACATGACGCGCAACCAAAGACCTTTTTTTAGATCATACTCTTCATGAGCACTAAAGCTTCGATTGCGTTTGCACAAGTCACAAAGTAACTCAATCTTACATCTCGGTTTTCTTCATTCACTCGAATGGCGCAACTGATCACTCTGGTTTGGTCCACGGGAGGCAAGACTTTGACCTCAACATGAATTGGTACGTCAAGAAAATAAGCAATGCCTGAGACTGAATTGTCGTTTTGGTTTATGCAATGTATATCAATTGATGTATGCACACATTCCAAGACTGAAGTTCACGGCGCTACGGCCCTACCAGCTGGCGCCTTGATTGCACTAGACTACATTGAATGATGTTTACAGTAATTAGTTGTGACCTACGCTTGGCAACTGCCCCTCCCAGGTGCCAAAACTTTTGGCTTTTTGCACCGGCACTTTGCAATGCATGGGAGAAATCCCAAAGGGTGGTTGGACAGATTGTGGCATCTGCTGTGCACATACCTGAAAATGTCGCAGGTTGGGGCATGGCATGGTGTAATGTCAAAATTGCTACTGCCAACGTGGCAACTATATACTTAGTCAATGGCCGCTCTTCCAGTTTCCTTGAATTGACAGCAGGCGGGGATGATACTAAGTGACTAAGTCTAGAGTCTAGACGATTGATCGTGGAAAGAACAAAGCACAGGGAAATATCAAGGTCCAAACGAGCAATATCCCAAGCGGTTCAGTGAGCGTTTCGACGCAAACTCCCGAAGCAAACAGAAGAATTAACTCACACCCATCGATCAGCTACTACATGCCCAATGAACTTGACAACTGTGGTATGTACAAAAAAGCCTTTCTCCCAAACACCCAAGAACACTTTGGCATCCTGCAGTGTAGGAACTCGAGGGCTCAGCAAGACATATTGCGACAGACCGCAGCACAGAACTGCGTGAAACCCCGAGCCTTTGCTCGTTCCTGCTTACCTGCACTGCCTCATGTCACCCAACCGCCCACACCCAAGCAGTCCCAAGCAGTCTCCGAGTAGCAGGAAGACAGCGCCAATAACTCGAATCACTGCAAATACAACCACAGTTATATAGAACCTCAGGTTCAAAAAAAAGTCTTAAACACCTTTCACTATCTTCAGAAAGACATTATATTCAGTAGCACTGGTGTATAGTCAACATAAAAGTGGAGATTAATCGAGGCAACAATGAATCATGATCATTGCTATTCCCGCTGCAATTTTGTAGTTGGCTACCTTTGCCGCCTCTAAAGATTCTTTACATTGGAATTCCCTGCAAACCACTGAACCACCCCTCCAAGGGGCACGAAGAAAATCACAAATGCATCGCTCGCTTTTGACATCACTGGCCGCGTGAGCGTAGGCCACGATCCAGCGAATGTGATCCTTAGCTGAAGGAAGGAATGGACAGGAATGGATTCGAGGGACAGAGAAAGGAAAGCAAGGGCCCTTGCGAAGGCTGCACTTGGTCACATCTTTGGCAAAAGAGGCCTTGCCATTGACAAGAAGCCCCCCTCCACCCGGGCATGTCCAACAAAAGGTCAGAAATGGACCACGCTTGCCATGGCTTGCTTATAGTTGGATCACTTGAGTTAGCAAACCCATCCAAAATACACGAAACCAAACACACAACGAAACGTCAACTTGCAATGCTTGGCCGGCGAAGCATCTCAAACAAAGTGTAGGAGGCCCGGTACCTCAGACTCCGTGGCATCAATCAGCATGCGGGACCCCTGCAGTCAAAGGCTGGGGCTTTCCGCGAGCTCACAGGGACCCCTGTGGACCTGTGGGAGTCCCTAGTAGTGTCCTTGCTCCGTTCGTAGCGATGCCCTTTGC